CTTGACAGGCGCTCTAGTAATGGGAGGTACACACTTAGCATTACATGAATAAGGGATTTTCGAAACCGCACCTAGATCAAACATCTACTTTCAAGCTATGAGAACCACCATTTCTCCATCTTGCCTCACCAAGATAATATGGCACCCAACTTTGGCATGGCCCATGACACGTACGATCGATGACTTGACAAGTGCTTTACTTATAGAGCTTCTAGATCTAACCGATTTCTGTGCAACGATTGTTCATAATCCGAATAGACCATCCATTCGATTATGTAATCCCAATCCCGGAGCTCCCACTAAATCAAGCATATCTAATATCTCGATTAAGTTACATGCATTCATTCACTATGGACCATCCATAAGAATAAATCATGTATATTTGAGTCACAGTTGATCAGATTATACAACGATTGCGTAATCGGACCTCGAAAACGGAATTTTTCGGAATCTGGACTTCGGACCGTCCGTTCTAGAGGTAGAACGGACGTTCCAGGCTGGCAGAACGTTCGGTCTCGACTTCAGAAGTCAGAACGGACGTTCAGCCTAGTAGAACGGACGTTCTGCCTGGCAGAACGGACGGTCCAACCTTCCGTTCTGTGCCAATCAGTCCGTCACCCTTGGACCGTCCGGTCTGGCTTACCCAGAACGGACGGTCTAGGGTAGATTTACGTGATCAGATCACGTTTCCCCTCGTTCTCGTCCCCGATCAGACCCGAAACTGATCCGAATTCTTCTGTACACCCAAAATTCGAACTCCTGCACTCTATGCAACATGAAACATGCAATCTACACTAGATTCAATAATCAAACATGTATAGATATCATAGCAAACATGGATTCAAACAATTCAAATCCTAAACATGCGTGATCGGGTTCTACGAAATCAAAATAGAGCAACCAGTCTCTGATACCACTGTTGGGTTTCCTGGGATCTCATGAGCGAATCCTATTCCTAAGAGATCGATTCTAGGGTTTGCGCAACGGATATAAAACAAAAATTTAATAAACCCTAGAACCATGCTTCTAATGAATCGTAGAAACATTAGAACGCTTACCTCAATCGATCCGGGATCTGTATCAATCGAAGAACACGTCTGATCACGAAAGGGAGGAAGATTACCTCGCCCTCTACACGTATCCACACTTCGGGATGGATTCCAACGCTTGGAACTTGTCTGCTAGGACTCGAATCCGCTATTCATTTGTGCTTCGAGAAAAACGGACTTTGATCACACTCTCAATCTCTTGGATCTCTCCAAAAGTCTACTAAATGTGTTCTGAAGTCGGCTCTTTTTCTCTTACTTCCATTAGGGTTTTAATCTCCCTTTTATAAAGTGATTTAACCCTAATTTCGGTTTAATTTCGGAAACACTGAAGCCCGGAACGGACGGTCCAGAAATGCACGTGGATCGTCCGTTCCAGCACGTAGAACGGACGGTCTGCTCACGTGGACTGTCCTGCCAGACTTTCTGGAACGGACAGTGCGTTCTGGACCGTCAGGTCTGGCACGGCGGACCGTCCGTTCCGGACTTCTGGTCCGTCCGTTCCAGACCCTTCCGTCTCGGTTTTTCCGTCGTTTTCTCGCACGTTTCGTCCTTCCCTGCGTGTGTGACCCTGTAGGCTCATTCGATATAGCAGTATAACCCGAAATCTCTATTTCGGATATACAAGTCATAGGCGGTCTCTAGCAAGACACTATGACTACCTATCTCGAATAGAGTTTGTTCGTGATCTTTACGAACGCCAGAGATGATTCCGGTTGATGATCCTTTTGTATCGTGATATCATATGTCGAACATAAGGCATGGACAAGCCACCTTATCTGATTCGACTGCTTTCTCGTTCACTGAGTTCGACTGTCTGAAATAGACGACGTTCGTCTATAGTGCGGCCACACATTTCTACAGTCTCGCTCACACGAGGGGCCCAGCGATATCTCTCTCTTTTACGAGAGGTACAAATCTCGTCTTGACTATCTACAATCTAGTACATGATTCGTTTCGTACCTGATACACGCCTTTATAGTTCTCCTGTTACGCAGAACGTTTGACGTATTCAAAGCACGCAACTCCTCATGTTGGATTCCGTATATATCTCAGGTCTTAGGATCCAATCATGGAACCGCCATATGAGATTCAAGTCATGACGCTAGTCCATGTGACAATCTCATGCGGGTCAATCCAGTATTCCGTTCTCCAACGAATACCTATGACTGTGATCGTATCCAATACCTATGATCATCTCTATGATCATCAATCACACATCATACTAGTCTTATTATGTCGTTATTCCCATAACGACACAAGACTAGGGAGTTTAGTATCATTCATAATGATACATGGATTTCATAACAGATCTAGTATGCAAGAACATGTAATGAATCAAATACTCTCATAAAACTATAGAAAGTATCAATACATCGAATGTATCTAAATAAAGCTCATGAACAGTACATCATAGAGCACTAAACCAACAAACTCCCTCTCGCCGATCATCCGCATCGGAAAATACTCATCAGACCCGAACTCAAGTCTTTCAGAGTATATCCGTACCACCTCACCGGAAGACACACGCAACTACCCGGGTCTTAGGTTTATTTGTCAATCAACGGGTGGCACACGCAAACCTGAAGTTCGTTCCATAGCCACTGGAACGTTGGCACGGCTGCCAAAGAATCGTAATTCCTCGTCATGTATTTGGGTGACACACGCAAACCTGAATACGTGACTCGCAGGATGCCATAACCGTTCGTTAGGGAACGATGACACGATCGAAGATCGCCACAATCACAATCACGTCCACGAGATGATAATCGATCCGGATCGAATATCATACCACGAAGATTTACAGTTAAGGCAATCATCGTGATATCACTCAAAATTCCGTCTACAATCACACACTGAACAATACTCGAACTCATCCGAGTAATGTCAATGTTATGTCATCTACCTTGTCAAGATTCTCCAATCACAAGCGGTCATTAATTATTACTTACCTTACACACGGTCAAGGATAATTTCTTTTAAATTTATTTTTATATATTTTACTTATTAATTTTATGATTTGTTTAATATTTTAATCCTTCGATCCGATCAAACAGGGTTTTTACCCATCTGAATTATCAGTTCAGCTCGTCCCGAGCTTTGTACTTACTCGGTTGTATCATTTGGTCTAAACTAAGCATATCTCGGTTCGAACCAAGTTTAGTCATATTTTAGTTAAATTTTGGTTTTAGGGCTAGACCGAGTCGGTCCAATTCCTGGATCATCCGTTCTATTATTTATTTATTTATTTATTTTATTATTTATCATTTTTTTATTTTTTTTTTATTTTTTATCATAACGGATCGGTCCAGTTTCTATAATCGTTTGGTTCTTTGTTTTTATTTATTTATTTATTTATTTTAAAATAATAATTAATTTTTTACTGGGTCAGAAAGCAAATCGTCGGCCCAAATTTTAGTTTTATTATATTCTTTCAAATTTTGTTTTTTTTTTCTGCAACTCCGGTCCGAATGGTGTAGAATCGAACCAATCTGGTCCGGACGCATAAATTCACTGATTCAATCATATCAACATCAAAATTCATAAACAATGTCTAAAATATTTACAAACACTATAATAACATGAATAAATCAATAATTTTGCACACTAGCATATAAATTTCGAAGACAATAAAAATAAAATTTTCAAATTACATCTAAAATTACTCACCTGAATTATGTCGGATAATTGGAGAAGTTTTGATGGTTTTTTTAATGGCCGCCACCTCTTTTTTTTAGTTAGTTAATTTTTTATTTCTACGGCGATTTAGCCGCCTCTCATCTTTTGTTTTTTTTAATTAATTGGGCTGAAACCCATTTCATTACGACGTGTCTTGGAAGGTTGGGAGTTATGTTGGAAATCTATAAGAGATTGAAATGCGTTGAAGTAATAATACCAACATCCGTAATTAATTGGGCTGAAGCCCATTTGGTAAATTCATAGCGGATAACAACATTTGCAGATAAGTAGATAGTTCATATTAAATTATGCTTCTAACTTAAGATCATTTTGGTAAATAGAAATCCAAGAATCGATTATTTCGACTTCTTTTTGCCTTTGCAAGACCAGCCACTTCGGATCTTCTTTTGTCTCGAAGACCAAATCCATACAGTGAGAACCTGTCAGATTTCACAAAGGAAATTAAACACATTTTTAATTTTATATAAAAAAAAATCTTTTCATTTTTTAAAAAATTCTTAATAAAAATGGATTTCTATGCATTGCGTAAAAGCCCTTTATGGATTAAAAAGCAAATTTCTTATATTATTAAGTTTGCTGTTCGATTTCGTTAAGTTTTACAAAAAATATGTAGCTCATAAAAATCCATATATATATATATATATATGTATGTATATATATAACTTTCAAATATCATTTAACATCTCAACTCGGTTACTAATCAGAAGAATAACAAAAAGATTATATTATTAATTTAAACATACCATTTGTCTTGACGGCCAATATAGTATCCGAAATATCCTCCAATACTCTATATAAAAAAAAAAGAAACGTTTAAACAAAAACCACTTTATATCTAAGAAATCTATTAATATTTTATTAATTTAAATAATTTTACCCGCCAACGCTGTACGGATCGGACAATCCATTGGAGAAAATGATATTGCTCCCAAACCTTCGGAGACTTAATTTAAAATCCTGCAAAAACATTTATTATTAATTTTTTCAATATAAAAACAATTCATTTTTTTTCAAAGTCCAAAATAAATTTAAAAATGAAAAAAAAAAATTCAAACACGTACCTCACCCCCATAGTAGGCACTGATCCAATGTGGACGTGGAGAGATGCCATACATACTTTCACATTTGGATGTGTAATCACTCATATTAAACGGATTTGTTTGAAACAGCGTATCTTGCTTGTCAAGTCCTATAGGCATCACTAGCTCACTACAAATCTGTCATGCATGTATATCATTTTAATTATATATTGTCGTGCCAAGTTTTGTAAATTCATGCATGTATTTAATAATACATTAGATTATGTTATTTTTATTGTTGTTGAACAAAGCATTGCAATTAAATATACCTGCCACATCCAAGCGAGTTCACTGTTTGTAGGTGGAGAACCAATTGAAATATCATAGCAAACTTGGTTGCCAAATTGAGCAACAACTCCTGCGAAAATTCGATCGAGCAAGTCCTCTGTATCTTTCGGGGATTCGGAATCAATAGCTTTGCATGTCGCGTCAACCGAATAATATGGAAGTCCGTTGTATTGTACCACCAGTGAGTACATCGATTCTAAGTAATCTTTGAGATCAGAACTTCGATTCAATGGGCTGACGAATAACAAAAATATATATAATAAGTTAGTTAGTCAATATGATTTGCGAAAAAAAAAATTATAGGTTTTATGAATCGTTACGCGCAAGTCTTGAATTTTTCGCTAAGGATAGAAAGACCATTGGGGTGCCAAGCCACTCTATCAATATCATCCCAAGATTTGCGGATCGTTTCGTAGCATGTTTGGCTTGTTTTCTGAAATATCGAAATCGAAAATATGTTATATATAAAATGGAAACCAATTTATATATACGAGGTTTAATAATTGTTACCTTTATTACTTGGGTTACGACGTAGAAATAACCGTATTTTGGAACAGTATCTTCGAAGTAGAGAAGAGGAGCAGAAGAAGCCAATGCTCCAATTGCTACATGTGGGTATTTTAACCTAAACCACGTTGCTAACACTGTAGGTATATAAGAAATATTTCATCAGTTACATATATTTATAAACAACAAATCAACGAATCTGTTGGATACGATAAATGATTCAAGAATCTCAAATTATGGACAGTTCTTATAGGAGTTTGTTTCCCTAACATGTTATGCCGACCGTTTATGTCCGTTTCTTTTGTGTATTTTATATGCAATGTTTCGTATATGCACGTGTTTTATTATGTTATGATCACGTCTTTGTTTTGCTTTCAAGAAGTAGAGCACACTCATTTCTCGTTTTCATTACCAAACACAAAGCTCATTAAATCATGTTAGATGTTTTAAAGTGAGGATGAAGGGAACAACATGATGTGCATATATAATATTGTGTGCGCGCATATATACATCACTTACTTCCACCGTAGGATCCACCGATGACGATGATAGGGGAATGTTTGGTTGCATACTTATCCTTAATGTGCATGAGAATTTCGGCATAATCGGCGAGAGCTTGTGCTGTGTTGAAATATCCCATAGTAGTTGCGTTCTTCAAAGCTTCTTTTGCGGATCCAAACGGCATTGATTCTCCATAATATCTATGCTGCGTTATGTGTGTATATATATATATACAAAAATGTTAATATGACACATTATAGATTAGGTTTTGTAAATAAAAATATATTCGGTACCTCTATATAAACCAGGAGAGCTTTGAAATGAAGGCCATTGTCACGAAGAAAACCTACAACGCTCAAATCTGAATCCATAGGAGATTCAGCTCCAAGATAAGCGAGAATGGGGGAGTTAGTTTTAGCACCACCCCAATAGCTGAAGTCAATGGCATATCTTTGTCGGAATGTGGTATAGCTTTCTGGTGTGTATGTGAAGTGGTCGAGATTCTGGTCGAAAAAGAAGAACTCGACATCAGAAGCAGAACCATAATTATCGGGTTTCAGCTGGTTTTGTCGGGATGCGTCAGGATATACCCGGGGATATGAACGGGAAACGAAAGAGAGGATGCAAATGATGAAGAGTGGAAGGAAGTTTTGTCTCGTTGACGAATGCATATTTTTGTCTAAGGGTTTGGAGGTTTTGGTTTGTGAAACCAACAGGAAGGATCCCTTTATATAGAATTTTTATAACAATAAAAAAAATCTCTTCGCTGATCCATAACTTACTGGACAATACATTACTTACCGTTCCACGTGTAGCAGGCACACATACATCAACACTAACGAATTTCTGAATTTTCTAATATAAAAATTTGAATCTAACACGTAGTATTTGAAATAATTCTTAGGGACTAGTAAAAATTCTGAAAATGATGTGAGATTTAGGAAACTCATATTATGACATCTTAGCTTTATTTATGTCAAATGGATGCTTTCAACAATAGCAGACCTGATTTTTGTGTAACCATGTGATTTTAATATTTAATTGATTTATCAAATAAGTGTTTTGAAATTTTTATTGACTTGAATTTGATATTTTTTAAATCCCCATCTGAAAAATGAAGAATATGAACATCTAGGACCCTCTCTAGCCTCTACCACTTTTTTTCTTTAATATTTAAATAAAAAGCTTTTCTTTTTAATCATGCGCATCTTCAATTTTGGTTTAAAGAATAACCATATTAAAAAGAGAGAGAGAGAAACCTAATAATTCCTCTCCTACGGAAGACGTCAACCTCCTACCATCTTTAATTTTTTTTTCAACCTCTGCAATTTGCCTACTCTTTCCTATAGTTGAATATGTAAATATTTCCAAATCCATGATCGACTTTAATAGGGGGATTATTGCGGATCAGTGATACGTTTGTATTGATAGTTAATTCTTTTATTTGATCTAATTGGGTCTACGATCCCTTCCCTCCACCCTTATTTATAGAGGGTTGCACATAATTATACAAGCATATAGAGAAGATTGCATTGGAGACAGTTTCCGCAGGAGGAAAAAGGAAATATTGAAATATGAGGTCGTGCAGAAGAAATCGATAATATGAAAACATTTTATAACTATATAATTTTATTTCTGTAGCAAAAAAAAATATATATATATATTTTGGGCAAGGGGAATTAAGACAACGATGAATCTTCTGAGGCGAAGACATGTGGGGCTTCCGTGGGACCGCGGGGGCCAAGCTGGTAGCCACAGCCGCAAGAAGGGGTGAAGCATGGAATGCATTGATATTGCTCACCTCTATAATCTTGCTCCTCTATCTCTCTTCCCCTCGACACCTCCGCACCTTCATCGTACCAAACATGACTTTATTTCGTAACATTATTATATTATATAATATATATGTATGTATGGTTCTGAGTCATGCATGTGTCCATATATTATTACATTATAGTTTCAAACATTTAATTCATTTTAGATGAGACACTTACAAGAGATGATGACCAAAAGGGCGATTACGAACGCGAGTTTGTAGGAACTTTTCGCCATTTCTGCAATTACTAAAAACAAAAAATTAACGTATATGAGAGAGTTTTTTAAGCCGTGAAGTTTATGTTCCTTTTAGGTGTGTATTTATAGAATGGTATATGGCATATATATGTTGTATCCAATGAATTTACAATTTCTAACTGTTTTTTAAAGCAAAAAACGGACATATCAAGTTGGGATATATAGTTTTCCACAAATTAGCGTTTATAAATTTATTCATGTTAATAAATGAAATTTAATTGGACTTCCGTTTACTATTAATAAATTTATTATTTCCATATCTAATGAGGCCAATATAAGGATTTTGACCAATTATGCTCATTTATAACACTGTTGATCAAATTTGAAGTTGTGAATATAATGTTATTCTAAGATTGATTGATTTAAAAAACAGTAGGGATCTTTGAAATTGAATTCTCTCTTAATTGGGAAATTTCAACATTGTAACCGCACTCGTCTATTTGCTATTTAGGATTGGAAATTTTATTTATTAAACTGATTGCATATGAGAATTACTCAACTTACCTCTGCAACACATATGGAATTTAAAAAAAAAACATTTGTTTTATAAAAAAAAAGACCATTTTTTGTCATTTGTGTCTTACTCTGGGGTCCATTCGTGTAGATCGATATACTTTATTAATTCCTGCCAAATTATTTTTTTGTCAAAATCACAAAATTATGGGTAAAAGACCATTTTTAACCTTTCATTGTCAATTTTTTATTTCCGTATTTACAAAGAATTCTTTTAAATACGATTATAATAATTAGAAAAATTAGCATTAACGACTACTTATATATAACTAGTGGCGTAGAGTATAATATCTAGGAGATTATCAGAGTTTGCAAAAATTTGAAGAAAGAGAGATTTGCTATATATAAAAAAAAAAATAGTATTTACCCATACATATAGATTAGGAGATTAATGTAAAAGGAACAATGAAGCTGCCAAAAATCGAACTTGAGACCTTCATGCAAGACCAAAGTCATATTAATTATGGGATCTGAGTTTTTTCTTTTATGTTAAATGGATACTTTCAACAATAGCAGACCTGATTTTTGTGTAACCATGTGATTTTAATATTTAATTGATTTATCAAATAAGTTTTTTGAAAAATTTATTGACTTGCATTTGATATTTTTTAAATCCCCATCTGAAAAATGAAGAATATGATCATCTAGGACCCTCTCTAGTCTCTACCACTTTTTTTCTTTAATATTTAAATAAAAAGCTTTTCTTTTTATCTTCAATTTTGGTTTAAAGAATAACCATATTAAAAAAAAAAAGAGAGAAACCTAACAATTCCTCTCCTACTACGGAAGAAGTCAACCTCCTACCATCTTTAATTGTTCTTCAACCTCTGCAATTTGCCACTCTTGTAAATATTTCCGAATCCATGATCGATTTTAATAGGGGGATTATTGCGGATCAATGGTACGTTTGGGTCTACGATCCCTCCACCCTTATTGATAGAGGTTGCACATAAATATATCAGCATATAGAGGGTTGCAGGAAGATTGAATCGGAGAGAGTTTTTCCGTGAGAGGAAAAAGGAAATATTAGGTTTTTATTTAAAAGGAATAACGGGCCGCTTCCTAAGATTAGGTTTTTATTTCGCCCATTGAAATATTAAATCGTTTAGAGGAAATAGATCATATTGAAACAGATAATATTAAAACGTGCAAAAAAGAGTTAGATGTAACATTATATGATAAAGATAATAGCTAAACCATTATATATATATATATATATATATAGATTTATTTTAAGCAAGAAACGTTAAGACAAGGAATCTTTGGAAGTCGAGACATCGGGTGCTTTCGTGGGACTGCCAATGCCGCCGCCAACGAAGCGACAACCACAAGAAGGGATTAGACACGGAATGCATTGATGTTTGTCACTCGAGAAATCTTGCTCCTTCAACTCTCTGCCCCTCGACATCTCAATGCCTTCAACGTACCAAACATGATGAGGACGTTAATTTATAATATTATATATATATATATGTGTGTGTTTTGAACCATGTGTCCATATTATATTCTAATTTCGAATATTAAATTTTTTGGATGAGACACTTACAAGAGGTGATGACCAAAAGGGCGATCATGATGAACACGAGTTTGCAGGAACTTTTGGCCATTTCTGCAACTTTTTTAAAACAAAAAAATTCTACGTATATAATAAAGTTTTCAAGCTGTGAAGTTTATGCTCGTTTTTAGGTGTGTATTTATAAGTATGGCAGATGTTATTTAAATACTATATGTTGTACCAAATGAATTTACAAAATCTGACCGTTTTTTTATTAGCAGAAACGGCAATATCGAATTTGAAAATATGAAGTTTTCTACGCATTAGCATTTATAAATTCCACTATGTTAATAAATGAAATTTAATTGGACTTCCGTTTACCACAAACAAATTGATTACTCCATACCCAATATATATATGGTCAATACGAGGATTTCGGCCAGTTATGCTCATTTATTCCACTATTGAACAAGTTTGAAGCTGTGAATATAATGTTATGATGAATTGAGAGAGAAAAACAGTAATGATCGATCTTATTGTGATACCATATAAGGTTTTCAGATCTTGTGAATTTGAATTATATTAACGAAGAGGACATTACATGGAGTTATATACAGCTTAGAGAGGATGAATAATAGGAAAGTCAAATAATAACAATCAATTTGAAAAGATTCTCCCGTGATTTATGTATATCACTAACAATTGGGAGATTTCAACATTGTGTAACCGCACTTGTGTATTACAAGATTATTTCTTAAACTGCGTATGGAAAATTCAAAAGAAATCTCAGCTTACATCTGCAAAAAAAAAAAAAAAAAAAAAAGAGGAATTTGAAAACAAATAATCATTTTTCTTTTTATAAAAATGAACCGAAACCAAATGAGGAACAACAATTGAGCCAAGAAGAAGATAAAGCGAGGCTTTGACGACGGGCCTGAAAAACTAGAATTTGGACCTAAAGAAACATTTCACATAGAATTATTGGGCCTAAATTTTAAACCCATTAATTGACCATTTATCTTACGCTGAGGCCCATTCGTGCCGATACACTTCATTCTTACCCAAATTAGAATATTATGTGCAAAAGACGATTTTTTTACCTTTCGTTGACAATTTTTATTTTCGTTTTTACAAATACAAATTTTTAAATACGATTATAGTAATATTTAAAAAATAAAAAAAGATAAATGATGCTGCCGAGATTCGAACTGGAGACCTTTGCCACATATATGCGAACTGGAATACACCTTTCGAAGGGAGGGGATCGAAGCGGCAGACTGATGTTGCGTTGTTGGTCAACTTGGTCTCCGTTCCGAAGAGTTGCCTCTGTGCTCATGGCCCCAAAACTCAAACCTCAACCTCACGGTATTCTCTCTCTCTCTCTCTCTGCATTAGATGCTTTGTTATTTGAATTCTCGACAAGGATTTTTTATTTCTTGAACAGAAGACGAGGGTTTTTTGTTTATTTCCTGAACAAAAGAGAAATCGACATCTCTGTGCAGTTGCAGAAGCAGGGTTTGAGCGATTGGGCAAGAGAGTTAGGACAATGAGCTCTCAGTCTTCCATCAAAGATTCTTTCTCCAACTACGCCGAGTACCTCAACAACCTCGTAATTAATTCTCTTAATCCTATCCTTCTTTTGTTTCTAGGGCTCGATAATTTCGGTTTTCTTGAAGAATTCCGCAACTTTGTTGTGTAAAGTTTGAACCTTTTTAGTGACTTCATCGTCTTTAGCATAGATTACGAAAGTTCCTCTCTTTCGTCCAAAAAATTTGATTCTTCTTCTGTTCTGATCGAGAGCTGGTCTGCATATTGCCATTCAGCCATCTGAAATTTGCTGTCCAACATTCTGAATTGGCTACAGATTTCCATGTTTATTCTTTCGGATTGGAAAAACTGTGACTTTGATCTTGTCCGTTCTTGTTTTGATATACCCTTGTAGAACGAGAAGCGGGAAA